ACTGTGTGTGTAGTACCACCCTAACGGAGCACTGATGTACCACGGTTGATGGGAAAACCAGAATAACACAGATTCCTTACAGCACAAAGGGAGCAAAAGTAGTGGACTGACCTAGCATGGAGCCAGGGCTGATCCAGCTAAAAGTCTTGACTTTTGTCTGACAGGAGTCCTGCTAAGCATAACCTGGTCACTTTGTGATTATGAGGTTGCCTGTATACCATGTTTCCTTGTGCTCTGGATTGTGCTGGTCTTATAAAATAATAAGAACCAGAGCAGCCTTTTTGAGCCACCTGAGGGCTGGATTTGCTGGACTGTAGCACGCTGAAGCAGCTGGATCAAGGATCCTGAGAGGCAATACTGAAGATCAGAGGTTTCCAGTGGGGTGCAGGCACTAGGTTTGTGTGGGTTTTGTGCTTTAATCTCGGGTGCTTTTACCTCCTCACAAACTACACAGGTAACTGAGGTACCTAAATGAGAGTCAGAGATCCCACTTAAGAGTCAGAAGTGAGGTGGACTGCATGATCTCTACCGTGCTTGCCTATAAGAGAAAGTTTTGTGGTCTGTTGTATTTTGGATGAGTTTTGGGCCTTCCAGAAAGTACTTAGGGAACAAATGAATGTACAGAGTCTATCTGAAAGAGAAAAGGATGAGAGTATTCCATGGAGACGTATTAAAGTCAATCCAAAGTGACCTGATGACTTTACAACCCTCAAGCAAATTACCCCAGATCATTTTTTTTAGTGCAACAGGGTTGTGTATGAAATATGAAAATGTGTACATGACCTTCTTTTAAATGGCTGTGATTTATTGCTTCCAGAACCATGAGGGAATCAAAATGAGTTTATGAAGAAATCAGTGTTATGTGGGATTGCAAAATGATGCTGGGTCTGATGAATCCTTTCTGAAACCCTTTAACCACATGAAATCAGCTTCTTTACTTAGATATTGCAGGATGGATATCTCATCCACTCTGATTCCAAAAAACTTCAGGTCTCTAAATGATTTTCAGTATGGTGATGTTTGCTTTTTTTTGTTGTTGTTGTTGTTCTGTACAATTTTCTGCATGCATCTATGTTTTGTTATAATCATGTTTTTAATTTGGATGATGCTGTTTTTATTTTCTTTGGCTGCGTAAAACAACCCCATTTACCTTTTTCAGATTATTCAGCAACCTTTCCCCCCCCCTCACTCTGCTAAATATGCTTTAGTTTAAAAGCAACTATATTCTTTCATATCTATAATTTGATGTATGATTTTCCCATTTTCCCCATGCTTCTCAATACCTTCATTCTGCAGCTGCTGTCTTCAGGTGATAGTTCTGAAGCAAGCAGCAGAATAACAGGGAGAACCAAAGAGTTTTGTTTGTTTTCTTCAGAAGACACTTCTCTGAAGAAATAAAATTCTTTGAGCTGAAAAAATGGGACAGCACAGCCTTCAAATCATAAAAGAATTACTTGTGTTTGGGAAGGTACCATGGTGTGACTTCTGATTTTCTTTGCCTCTTGATGTTTTCTACAGTATAGGAGTAAATATATCTCACATTTAAAACTAGGTTTTTATTCTCCTTTTCTCTGTGTGCTTTTGTGAACAGCTAGTGCAAAATCAAGTAGCATGCCTAGAACAGGCAGAATTTCCTCTGCTTCTGGTAGGAAATAGGCAAGAGTAGTCTGTCTGACAGGACTGTGTGCCGTATGGATTACGTTAATTCTATATGCATCTCACCTTGAGGTAGGTCTGGCCTCACTCACCATGACTTTGTGGTTGTGTATGAAACAATGGGATTTCTTTTCCTCAACCCCCTCCCAACTTTTTCATTAGAAAACCTTTGTGCTCAAACAAGATTAGCCATTTTAGTCAGTTTCCCATGTTTTGATGAAGAATCATATCCTGTAATATTTATTTTATTATTATTGCCATGTGTTGTTGTTATTACCATTGTTTTCAGTCAAAGGTGTGAATTTTTTTCAGTTTTATTTTCAGAAGCACATTTTTTTTGGGGGGGGGGCACCTGATTTGGTGATATACTGTCCTTCAATAGGGATGAAATCAGCTCAGGAAGGGTTTGGTTCATGTGTCAAGGATACAGATTTCGGGACTGACCTTAGAGAATTAACTTGACAGGTTGCTTTGTTTCTTCTCCCTCTGCTCCCACATTCTGCTTGTGTGAACAGAGCAATTGGTGCTGAGGGACTGGTGTCTGCATGAAGCATGTTTCAGATGCCCTGTCTTGAACTGTTTTTGACTGCAGACTCATATCCATAACTTGTGGGGTGCAGTAAGTGTGCAGCTGGAGTGGAGTTTAGTTTCATAATCCAGTTTATGAGCCCTAAGGCTGTTTGAAGTGCAAACTAAAGTACAGTAAGTAGGATGATGAAGACACTTTCTTGAAAACTTTGTTCTGATTTGAAATAGAAAGTTAGTGGAATCAAGTGCTAGCTTGATTTCTTGAACTCAGTGACTCCTGACACATTGCTCTCTATGTGAATATCCCTTGCACAGTTAAATCTTCAGAAATGCAGCTGTGATCTCCTGCTAACTTAAGCATTTTGGACCTTTACATTGTTAAAACAAACAAACAAACCAACCAACCAGGCCCACAAGTCAAAACCTAAGTACTGTACGAAGTCCTCTGCAATATGCGTTAAAACTGTGTGAATGAAACATCCAGTGTTTCAGATCACTCATAAGGCATCTGGAGCAAGTATCTTGTGTGCAATTTTCATCAGTTCAAAATGTGGACTAATTTTTCCATATCAAATAGCCTTCATCAGTAAGCTTTTCAAAGCCCCATGCTATCTACAGTGTCAGCTACTCTTTTTACCTGGCCTGGATTCTCTTTCACTTGGATTGCACCTTCATTTCTACATACATTCTACTTTTGCCCAGTTTTGTCTTACCATCTGTAAAATATCCACTTACCATCTGAGACAAAAGCACAGTTGATAATGGTGCTGTGTCTATTCACCTCAGCCCAACTTAAATTTGGGAGCATAAGGTGTCCTATTAAATTCAGGGTTATCTTCATCTGTCACCCCCTGGAGTAAGGAGAGCTACAAATCCAAAGAAAGTAGTTTTGTATTAGCCATATTTTTCTATGTATGTTTGTTTATAAGAAAACTATAGTCTAATGTGCTTGGATGTTTCTAGTACGTTAAATATATACAACAAACAACAACTAACGAGTTTTAAAACTGTGATGCTTATTCAGTCCACTCAGTGCTCTTGAATGTGAGCCAACATTAATTCAAGCTCAGTTGATCCTAATAAGTAACTAAGACCCCATTTCATAAACATGCAATTCTAGCTTGTTATTTCTGGCACTGCCATTAAGCAAAAGTCTCTACCCTCAGAATGACAGAATTAAGGGATTAGGGATAAACTGAAAATCGTGAATAATTCACAATTTCTTCCCTTCTCTCCTTCCCACCAAAGGCAACTAGAGGGGCTCAATAATTGCTCTCAGTTATACACCTTTTCTTCTGGGAGTTATGCACAGGAGTGTGATCTACCAGTGCAATGGGATTTGCTCATATGAGTGGAGTCTGTAGGATTGGATGTAATGTCTGATACTTTCCATTGTCATCAGAGGGTCACTAGAACAAAGCACCAATGCCTGCACTAAAAAGTACTACTTATACTTACCCATCCTGAACGGGGATCTTTAGTGTCTCCTTAATGTATGTTGTCCCAACGATATGTATGATTTTTCAAAAGAAATCTATGACATTTTTTACTAAGATTCAATCAGGGTAATTTCTTACACCGGTCCTTCAGATAATGTAGAACATGGGGTATACTTGTTCCTGAAATAGATTTTCTTTTCAACTTCGCTGATTTTGCAGAAAGATATTTTATGAAAATCTTGTCAAATAGAAGAAGCTTTGCAGCAAATTCTCAGGAGATGCATTTTATTACAGAAAATCCTGTAATGTAGGATTTCACATTAAAGCAACATAGATTGAACAACAATGTATTTCTCAGTACAGACATTTCTTACTCAGCTTTTATCTCTGCCATGCCACTGGGTTTCATGCAGCTGTTGAAGTCTTAGAGCTGTAGCATATAGGTTTAGAACTGTCCTTTTATGTGTTTGTATAGTGCCCAGTGACTGGTGTCTTTGGCTCTCTGAACCTGTAGGCATTACAGTGATATGGAAGAGAGTAAGAGGTAAGGATACAGGTAAGGATACACTTTGTCTCTCTCCTACAGCAAGAATTACTTGCATTCATAAGGTCTGTGTGTTGCTAACATACTCTTTTTCTCAAAGGCTGAGAATTCTTGCAGATGCTACAGTGTTTGTATCATGCTGCTGTATTGTTGCAGCATTGTGCCAAAATAATAATTAAAAAAATCAGTTAAATTTAAAATTGGGATACTAATGGCCTCATAGACTTGCTGTCTTCTTTATTCAGTGTCAGTGAATGGCTCTGCTGTTCAGCAGCACTCATTAGTCTTTCTCAAGCGGTTGCTGTTGTCGTTATTATTCTGGGTTTTCTTTTTTCTTCATGTGCAATTGTTATTTTTATCAAAGTATGTGGGGAGAATGGTGTGCACACAGCTGTGTGAGGAACAAATTCAGAAAAGGCCAAATCAGTTTGTAAGAGAAATAAGGTGTATTGCCATCAAGTTTTGGGTCAGTAGCAGGGCACCAAGTGACTTTGGCTTTCTTAAAAAACAGACCAAGTCTTTTAATTTCTGAACAGAACAGGGGAATGCATGCAACCCACAGAGACTGGAGTCTCTCCAGGCCTATCTAATGTAACGAGAGAATTCTTTGTGAAATGCATAAAATGATGACATTTTAGTGGTGAGTGAAATATTTGATTACTTTTTCCATAACCTAAAATAGTTGGAATGTTCTTTTGCAATCCCATTCCCGGTGAGGACTAGGGGTGTGGAACCTCACCATATATATTCCTGAGAGACATCTCCAGGACAGTGTGTGGTGATATGGAAAAATGGGTTGAAAAATCTTTTTTAAGCCCCAAGGAAAAGTTAAAGGCATGCTCATCTGAGGAAACATCCAGAAGATGAATTCAGTCATGGTCACAAGTCTGAGGAGAGAAAGGTTGGACCAGTTGAAGTTTGGTGAGTGCTGTGGTGAGCAGTAAGATAAGGATGAGTGCCTGACTTATTCTGGCTTGTCTACGTGGCTGTTTGCAGAAGGGGAGAAGGGACACACTTCTGGCTAGCACCCTGGGACACAGGGCAACACAACCATGGTCCACGGGAGCACCAATTTGGTGCCATTCTAGAGGGACTGACTGCCAAAAAGACAGCTGGGCCCTGAGTGCCTCTTTGTCCCCTTTCAGCACACACTGCTCTCTACCACCATCCTGGGGGGATCCACATCCATGCCAACCTCTCCTGGGGCTGGTGTAATTTCTCCTCAAGTTTGTACATGTACTCCTAAGTACTGTGTTAGGGGCTTGCTTTTGATGCATGGACAGTGAACAGCTCTGTCACAGTTTAGCATCATGCTGACGCAAGCCATAGCCAACCACAGAAGAAAAGGATAGTCTTTGCCCTATGGAAATGGCAACTGGACATTCAGGAGGAATCTCATGGATTGAGATTCCTGGTACACAGAGAACTGCATTGGCATATGAAACAGGAATAGACAGGCATTTGGTGATATCTCTTTGAACTGCTTGGGGTTGCTTTCAAAGTAGACCAAATCTTTCTCTTCCCATTAACGTCATATTCCTGCTAGCAGAGGATTATGTATATTTAGTCACTGAGGATGGACTCTACGTTGTTCAGCATGGCTGTTTTATCAGGCTCAGTGGATAGTTTTTCATATTTTGTGTTGTCTGAATACAGAAAGACAGTTTATCAAAAGCTAGTTTGCAACTGGACTGTGTTGACACAGCATTTTGTGGGGACACAGAACTCTCAGAATGGCTGTTTCTAATGTAAAAAAACATCAAACCATTTTAAACTGGACCAGTTTCATTAAGGAGTTAGACCATGAATAGTCTGGTGCAAAGGAGCTAATTTCTATAAGAGATTGAAAGACTGGAAAGGGCTGGTAGAAGTTATATATTGACAGAAGATGAGCCAGACTACATCCTGCCTGTTCTCCAAATTAATTATTTGTTTCAATATTTATAAAAGTGAATAGGAAACAGATGGTAGAACTGAAGATGCTTGTTAGGTTTCTGTAATGGAGAAAGGAGAAAGAGTGAGAGGAAATCAGAATCCCACCGTAAGAGAGGAACAGGAAATTAAAACGTCAGACAACTGACAAAACTTCAGGACCACACACAAATATAAAGAGGTTTCTCATAGGATCTCCAAAGCATTTTAAATTTAAGTCTTCTCTCTTTTGCCACCCAGAAATCTGAATAAAGGGGTTTTTTAAAGAAAAGAAGAGGAAAGTCCAAATGCACATCCTCAACCCAGTTGTTAGAATAGAGTAAAGTCAAAACTTATTTGGAAATATGTATGACTAGTTTGGAAAAGTCTTACTGTGATATCTAGTGAGAAGACATAAAGGAGCAGAGACAGGAGTTCCTGACTCGTGTATGGAGTATCCATATCCTTGTCCTTGGGCCTAAGAATCCATGGTCTTTATTCTACAAAGACTAGTGATGTGGCAGACAAAGGTCTTGCAGATTACGATTATCAGGGAACCTGGGTTGTGTTTGTCCTCTGCAGTCATTCTGAGCACCCAGGGCTTGTAGTTTGTCCTTGTATTTGACTGAGTTTATGCTAATTACCCCTGAGGTGCAAGATGTGAGAGATGTGGGCAAGGCAGTCTGTGGGTAGAGGAGTAGCCTTACAGTATATGTTACACCTAGAATGTCAGAGTGTGGGGGGATGGATGTGAAAATAAGAAGGTAAAAGGATAGGAAGGCTTCATGTTGAATAAATTTGGTGAAATTGTGCCAGCTGTATTAACTGAAGGTCAGGATCTTCAATTTATGTGGGATTCTGATAGTCCACCTGCAGCCAGCACACGGCAATGTATTCTCCTCGCATGTCAGTAGAAGACAGAACTGGAAAAGCCACGTTGAACTTAACAAAAATCTGTTTGAGCTGCATCATTATCTGAACCAGCTGGATTTGGAAAGAGGTTGAGAATCCAAATAGGATTACTGGTCTCTTCCCTTCTCAGAACTGCTTCTAGCTTTAGAGGCACAGGGAGATATGTGCTTTGTCCAGTACCCTTCCCAGCTGGGAAGGGTTTGCTGTCGCTCTAATAATCTCTACTTCTTTAGTTGTCCTTTGCTTACGTCTCTTCATATTCAGCAGTCATCACTGAGTAAGGGCTGTCTGCTGACCTTTCCTTCAACAGCAAATTCTGAGCCAACTCTGCTGCTCTGCTGAGATAGGGATGTTTTTCTTTCTTTCTGTCTTTTTTTTTCTGTCTTGTGGTAGGGTTTTGTATGTCTCACTTTGACTTTGGCCAAGTGCCTTACAAGCTATGGACTCTGAATGTCTGCCTTATTTGGAGAAAAAGTAGTCTTTTCAGTTGGCTTGACCTCCCAGTAAGTTTCCTACTCTCCTTTGACCTGCTTCTGCCTTGCCACTCTTTGTATTGTTTTTTTCTCTCTTTCACATGTAAGAGTTCACTGATCCTTCTTCCTTCCCCCCAAAGGAGACGAAAAAATGTAGTAGCTGCAGCTAATTGTTCCCCAGTCCTTCTACTGGAGTTTGACGTTCACCCCAGGAATAAGACATTTGCAAGTTCACTTTCACACCAGGTCAGCAGATGCTGCTGCTAGGGATTATACTGTAACTTGTAAAATAGCTTACTTGAATCATGAATATGGACAGGTTTGCCTCATAGAGCTATTGCCCACTGCATTTTAGCATAGACTGGCAAGTTCAGCTCTTTGCAAGCAGGCTCTATAGTCAGCCCCTGAGAAATAGTCTGTTCTATCTTTATATTCCAAAAGTAGGCTGTTTAGGTCAGTATTGCTGAAGATAACTATAATTTTAGACGTAAATTCTGATCCCTCAGTTGGACCAATGAGATAAGCGCTAAGCCTTTAAGCCTTTTAGATCAACTGCAGACCATGGTCTACCAGAAAAATGGCTTTGTCTGCAACCAGCTCTTCCTATAGTTAACAACTGGTGAACCAAAGAAAGTGAGTAGCAGAACTCGGCATGGTGAAGTCCTTGGTCAATGACAATAAGGCGCCTGCAAAAAAGATGAATCTTGTGATTTCCCTTGTATTTGCTTTCAAAAGGAAGCATTGGAAGAAGAGGAGAAATAATGCAAATCAATGGTGCAGCAGTCCAGGATCAAGCAGAGAGTCAGTTGCGTTCATTCTTTATTTGTCTGGTGGTCTATAGAGGGAGTTTTTCATAAATTCATGGTTTTACATGGCACTTGTTGTACGCAGGTACTATGGGAGCAGCAAGTAGATTTGGTTTTAGCTAGGTGCCAACAGGAGGAGTTAGTGCTTTTGCCTTTTGCATTTCTACCTTCCTCCAAACATGAGCTTCACACGGCAGATAGATATTTCATGAACCCGGTGTTTCCAAAAGATCTGAACTGAGGTTGTCTGAACTTGTCAACTTGTCTGAAGTTATCATTTACTGACCATGCGAAGAAATCAGGGATGTTCAGGTGAGGGACACTAGGAAGGAGTGTCTTTGCTGATCACTGAGTAAGATGAGACTCACCTGTGAAGCAGGGTACAAAGGAGTTTTTGTACAATTTTCATCCGCTTTTCTTCTGACACTGTTTCTGATACAGCCAGATCTAAATTCATCCCAGTGGCTACTCCAAAGATGAGTTGTATTTGGTCTATTGAATTTGTGACTTAGAGGCTAAAAGAAGACATACATGTTACAGAAGTGTTGCCTGTGACTGATTGAAGAGAAAAAAGAATTCAGTCCCTTGTCCCAGCCTGTTCATCTCTGTGGGCTTTTCTTCCTTGTCAGAGAATCACAAAATGGGTAAGGTTGTAAGGGACCAGAGTAGGTCATCTGGTCCAACCCCCCTACTCAAGCAGTGTCATCCTTATGCACAGTGCACAAAACTGCATCCAAATTTATTTTTTTCAAGGCTCTAGCTAAAGGAAATGGATAACCTGAAATAAATCTTAAAGATATTTTCTTCCCGTCCTCTCCACTTAACTGAATCCTGAAATGTGTTTCCCTGGCATTCTTCCTGCCTGTCTCCCCCATCTTGCTCTCATAGGACTGTTGTTACACACAGAAAGTTGTCATTGTGATGGACAGGAGTGACTTGCACAGGAGTGACTTTGTAAGGCTCAGTCCAGTGTGGAGAAATGTACTGTTAGATGAGGAAGGAAAAGGATCAGCATCAGCACAATATCCAAGGAACTGGTGTCTTTTTCAGAGTTATGCTTATCCGTACTCTCAAAGCGTGCCTTTCATAGTGCTTCTTTCACCTGCAAGCCTTGAAAACCCCAGCCCCTGGTGGGCTGCCTCCCTTTGCATCAGTCCCCATTTTACCACACAGCCACTGCTGTCTGTGTGGTCTTTGAAATTCGCACAGCTTGGTGGCAACCAGTAGGGAGGGAAAATAACGTGTTTTATTTATTTAGAGTCAAGCACAGTTTAAACTCCATTCTAAATAAATAAAAACTCCTAGCCAGATTTATATAAATAAAAAAGCAGATTTTCCCCTCTCTTTTGGCTGCTGTTGAACAGCATCAGTTTCAAGACCACACAAGGAGCTGTGTCGACATCTCAGAAATGTGCAGTAGAAGCAAAGGTAGGAGGGGTAGGAAGGATCTTGATAACTTGCTTTGGACTTCTAATCCATGGAGGTTTCCTGTGGACATAAAGGAGTAGTCCTGACATTGTGGTGAGTTAAAAAGTTAGAAAACTGTGAGCATCTTAGGTCTGTAACACAGGAATATTTCTATAAAAGACCAGTTTTATTTCAGATGGTTCATCCACTCAACCAAGTCATCTGTGCAAATTGTAGGATTAGTTGACAGAGATGAGCACTATTATTTCAGTCTATTAGTATGGCCTAGAGGTCATGGAGCACCTATAAAAGGCAGTGATTTGAGGAAGAAACATTTTATTCTTAGGAGGTTGGTCACATTTGTCTTTTGGGGCTTGAGTTTGGATTATACAAAGGTTCCCAGTTTCCATCAAATGGTGCTCCCACACAGGTGCTGACAGTGCCATGTCTCCTATTACAACCATCACTTAGGGAAACTCCAAGCATGGTTTCATTTTCTTGGGAGTGAAATGTACTATGTCTGCACAAGGCTTCAGATCTCTCCTCACTTGCAGACCTGCCAAGCTATCAGGAAGAGTGACAAGCAGCTGCTATGTGGAGCACCTGGGTTTTGTTACTCCAGATGAGAGATCATAACAGGCCTTAAATAGATATCTACTTTAAGTGGGTTCTCCTTGTGGCAGCATTTACTGCGCTACTCGTGGATGAGGATGGGCTGGAGAACATGATTCTGCTGGTTGCAAGATTAGGCCGAGAACAAAAATAGCCCAGTTAATGATTGTTATTTTGTGACTGGTCAGAGGCCACTACAATTTTGATAAAAAAAATAAAAATCAAAGAAACACTCTTGCAAAGCAAAGCTTTTCTCACAGTTCATTACCTCTTTCATATTCTGAACTTCCTTGGGCTGGCGGACAAAATGATCAACAGATGTTAGTCCCATTGAGGAAAAATTTCAAAGAATAATTTTTAAAACATGTCCTTTTATAGCTTGCTTTTCCCATTTTATATATTGTATTTAAAGTTATGTATGGTCACATATCCCACAATACTTTGGGTTGTCTTGTTTTGTTAGTAAAACACCAACTCACTTTTCTCTTCCCGGTTAATGACACTGCTAAGGTCACAGCTTGTCATAGGCAATGGTGTTGGAACTCCTAAACATCTTCCCTAAACTCTTCTCCTGAGGGTAGTACATCTCAAGGCTGTATTGCTCTATGGTCCAGTTAGCAGTAAAATGCCATTTTTCTTTGCACAGATGAAGTAATTACCTACTTCTACGTGTGCCGGGCCAACTTGCAGATGATTGCTTCAGCTACCAGAAACTTCAGATATTGCAAATGGTCTTTGTCTCAGCCCGCTCAACCCAGAGACGTGAAGAGTTTCCCTCCTGGTTCTAGCTAGTGGTGGCTCAGTGAGTCTTTTTCCTTGAGAACACTCCTTGCCTCACTAGAAAGAACATACACTTTGAAAATGCTACTTAAGGGTAATTATTCCATTTAGTTCTTATTATTTATGTCAGTTAAGTAAAAATGTTTACTAGTTCTTAGTAACTTTGAAGGTGGGCACTTGGTGGTGGACTTGGCAGTGCTGGGTTAATGTTGGACACAATGATCTTAGAGGTCTTTTACAACCTAAATGATTCTATAGTTCCATGATGCATGAAGATAGGTAGTGTGGCATAGGCTCACGCTGCCTGCCTGCCTGAATTTCAGGGCCCCTCAGGTAGTTCCAGGTGTAGGGAAGTGGATTCCATTTTTATGTATGCCTATTATTATTTCAAAAAGAGATGCTACATTTTGAAAACCTTAATGTAGGGAGCTAGGACAGATAGTGCAAAATACTTTCAAACTTGAATTATATTGATTTTTTAAAAAAATTTTCCTTCTTTAAAAAAACCAGTTATTTAATGCTTTCTGCTATGGATAATTGCCTTGCAATTTAACCAGCCACAAGGTCATTTATTGCATTTTATGCTGAGCTGCCATGAAGGGTATCACTTACTTATCACAGTGGTCTAAGTAACCACACCAGAGACCATTCATTTTCACAACACAGAACAAAAATTATTTACCTGATTTTAGCTCTCAATAGTAATGAGAGATGTTTAAGGCCTTAAAGATAATTCAATGTGTGAGTTTTAATTAATTTCTAAAAATGATAGCTGAGCTATTAGAACTGAACCAGAATGCAGGTGGTTCTATACCTTTTTTGTTGGTGACTATGATACTATCTGGCAAGAATGGGGTCCTGGAGAAATTCTGTGCAAGTTTACATAAAACGATCAGCAGATCCAGGTCTTGGGATTCTCAGGGAGATGGAGCTGCTCTTCCATTTTAATTATTTTAATGGAATTCAGTGTAAATATAAGTTCTGTAACATCAAAAAAATTCTAAGAAATAAAAAATGAAATCCTGCAGGAGGCTATGTTTAAGGAGAATAAGCATAATAAGATGTGCAGCTGTAGGCAGGCTAATCTGGTACTGATTCAGAACAAAAAAAAAAAATCATTAAAATCTTCTTAGGACATACAATTAGCTAAAGATTGTAAAGCAATTGCTGTCAATGAAGATACTTCTATTTAAATCTGCTCTTGCCAAATAACTGGATTAGATTTCAAATATTGTGGGCAAAGTTAAATGTCATGACAAGCTGCTCACTTAATAAATTAGATTAAGATAATTAGCAGGAGATAAAAGCACTCCATACTGCAAGGATTAAAAATATTTTGTAAGAAGTATCTATAAAAAGGTTATCATCATCATAAGAATAGAAAAGTGTTTTTGTTCAGGAAATCAGTCAGGCTTATTGCTAGTCCACTGCTATTCATTTGACTCTTTTCTTCGAGTTATTTGTAAATAATTATGAAGCTATTGCTAAAAAAATATTTTGATGGAATCTCATTTTGTTCTGGTAGGACCTTTTTGCTAACCAGGGGGTACTGTTTGATAAGAGTATGTTTGGAAGAATAGAAATTTTATCACAGACAAATGTGAGCCCAAAGGTGTGTATTTAAGAGAAAGAAGGCCTCCCATGTAAGATTTCTGAATGCTAGAAATTGGTGATCCTGGAAGTTTTAGAGTACATGGTAGTCACCTAAGCTAACATGAGCTTTTAGGCTGCTTTTAGAAGCATGACTACAGTATTGTGTGAGCAGGTGGGAGAATATTGTGTAGGACTGGAGAGCTGATTATTGTTGTAGATAGGACTGATGAGCTCTTTATTAGATAAGCAGGTTAATTTCTGGTGTCTCTTAGCAAAGGGGATGATAAACCAAGAAAATACGGGTTAAAAAACTGCAGGAGTGCTCTAAGGGTCTATTGATACTACAGATGTTTAAGACTCTCAAATACAGTTTATAACTTTCATGTATAGCACACAATAGATACCAATATATCTGGTGTTATAATTTTATCTATAAATATATAAGCATTTGTATAAAGAAGGATGTATATATGTGTACCTGTAAGCTTGGGAGGTTTGTGGTAACACACCTTCTTCTCAATTACAACAGCATCCATACAAAAATCTTAGCCACTTAAAAGAACAAATTAATTCTGTTATTAAGTTGTTGTAATTAAACTTGCTTTACCTCATACAATATTTTTGCGCTTAAAATGCAGCAGTATCTGGTGTGACTAATATTATGTATACAACTATAGCTCCAGACAAGCTTCATTGATCTCAGTGGCATAGCGGACAGTAGGACTTGGCCCTCTAAAATTCAACATGTCAATCCTAAAATAATTTAAAAAGGAATTTCTATTATCTCCTCCTCCTCCTCCACACTGTTTGTAACCTGAGAGCATCCATGTGGCTAAAATACAGACTTGTCTTCTCTAAGTTGAAGACATTCTGCTCATATCAGTGGAGAAACAAACTACAAAATAAGGCCACCAGATGTTCAAAAATGTTTAAAGTTCCCTTTTTGGAAAGGTAGAAAATTAAATGTTAAATAAACATTAAAATGCTATTTTTTCTATATAACTATTCATTTTAATGGCACCCCAAGAGTTCATCCAAAGGTCTCTGGGTCACTAGGGAGAAAGTACAGTATATTTTGGCTTCACAGCCTTCGACTTGCTACAAAGAGCTAATTCTTCCAATTAATGAAATAAATGTTGCTGATATAGATGGATTGACAAATTAGTTTAAAAGCTAGTTTATTGAAGCAGATAGCAAGTCTGATATGGCTAGAATGCTGTAAGAGGCCTCCCCTGGCAGGAAACACTATTAATGACTATTCACACCTAGTTTACTCCTTTGGATATTTTCTGTCCACAGTAGAACTGCAACAAAACTAGGAAGTGTGAAGACTTTTTGTCATGTAAGGCTTTCAATAGGGCTTTCTGTTTAGGGCAAAAGAAACCCAATGGGACAAGATACTCAGACAAGCTGAGGTAGCTGTAGGTCTGGTATTCCCTGTTGGGCATACTAAAGTTTGATGTACTATTTAATAGAAAAGCAGGTTAATTTATGGTGCCTGTTAGGAAAGGTGATCATAAACCAAGAAAACACGAGAAAATAATTTCAGGGAATGCTCTGAAGTTTACTGTACTTGTTCTGTGATCAGATGCTGAAAAGTTAAATAGAGCAAGGAAACTTAAGGGAGAATTTCAAGGCTACAAGTCTTTTTATGTGGGTAAAAGACTCTTGGAAACAGTATGCTTTCCTTTCAAAAATACATTCCTCTCCTTGGGACAGCATCCTGAAATAGCTACATTTTAATTCAGTTTGCAACAGTTTATGAGAGCGGATGTATTGCAATGTTGGTATTTCAGGAGTGGATCAGCTCCATGGATTAATGCATTTACATGCCTTTTTAATGGTGGAGGTGGGTTACTGCACACCTGAGACCCTCTGTAGGGCATATTGATGTCTGGCTGCAATTTTTGGGCTTTACAACTTTTAGCTAACTAATGTGATAGCCTCTCTGTTTCCAGACAGGAAATAACACTCGCTGTCAGCTGTACTGTATGTAGTGATGGAAGGTGTGTTCTGCCTTGATACCTAAAGACATAAAAGGGGTTGCAGAGAAAAGTCTGAGGCTTTCAGCTGGTGCCCATCAGTGTAACGTCAGAGGGCTGTAAGGTGATACAGGATGTTGCACACTGCAGTAATCTGGATAGAGCAGAGCTGGCTTTAAATCTGCTACTTGATGGACCACAGTCAGACCTCCTACAGCACAGTGCTCAACCAGGTCTTTGCCAGAGCACAAATATGTATATAGCAAATGCAGGGATCCATGTTGCTGTTGCTAAGCTGCTTTTTTCCCCCCATGTGTTTGCTTGTTTGGAGCCTGGTCAGCTATGTGCTGTGCTGTGCTAGATACCAAAGAAATGCTGCAACTGGGCAGAAAGCAGTAGTGGAATTATCACTCATGGTCTCCGAGTCCAGCTCAGTGAGAATAACAACTTCAAGACGTTGAATTGAATTTCTTTGCTACTGTATGAACTTTAGTGTTAATTAGCTGTGTGAGCAGACACCTGTGCAGTACTAGCTAAACCTCCAAATCCTGACTGGACATTACTCTATGGGGAAAAAACTTGCTTATCATTTACATTCTGGTAGTAGCTTAGTCATAAAAACAGTTATATTTCTGATACATGTGGATAACCTCTTATTGTTTAGAGAGTCCAGGAGAGAAATCTATGCAACATGCCAACACAAGAATTTTGTTATCCCTTCTCTTGGGAGAAAAGTATGCAAAGAAAATAATTAATTTGTTGTTTTAAGAAGAATATTTTTACCTTCTAAGAATTACATATCACAGATTGGTTTGATTGCTATCATTAGCCTATCTGCTGCTGCAGTGTTTGCTTTGTTTCTTAAAGAGAAAAAAAATGTGGTGGTATATCTCAAACACCTGGGATATGAAGAGTATAGATTCGTATTAAAAAGGCTGGGGGTTTGTTGTTGTTGTTGTTGGTTTTTTTTAATTTTGAAGACTGAATAAAACACAGTCTCCACATTTTCCAGCTGTGCTCTGTCTACAGATTGCTCTAGAATTTCTGTGCCTTCAACCTCATCTCTCTCTTTTTAATTTTTTCCCCTCCAAACACTTCCAAGAGCCAAGACGATAGTTGCTGTTATGCGATAAAGGCTCTGAAAGGAAAAGAATAAATTAACATCAAATGGGTTTCTCCTTCTCCCACTCTGCCTACAGAATGTCTTAAGGAGACCACAGCACAGTATCAGTACTGCCTCCTTACACATTCTGTATCCCAAGAACCCCTCCGATTGCTTTGCAACTTCCAATAACTTCACTCCAAATAAAACTCCTAGTTTTGTCTTTCTTCTGTGAAATTATTGGTGGTGTCTTCTGGAAGGTGCAAATTGATGAATTCCCTCAGTTCCTCTTAATGTCTGAAAGAACTGGGATTGTCAAGTACTTTTCAGGGGCTACATAAGGACACCCTGCTTTAATTAATATCCAGTTGGATTCAGATAATGGCATCCCGTGTTTCACACTGTTAAAAAAACTGGTATATACCTGATGTCACCTGTCTTTGTCAAGGGTACCCCACTGATGTTGTTTCTATCTAGCCTACATACTAAAGAAAGAGTGTAAGTAAAATGTCAGCACTTACTGACATTTTTGTTGTAACTTACTGACAGCATTGTTTTTCAGTTAATAGTCTTCAGCAAATCAAAGGCTTATGGTTACCTTACATTTCTTGGTTCAGGCAACAGAGGTGAGGACTGACTTTTGGAAGAACACTTTACTGGGCTTGGCAACACCTCTGGTTGTAGCTGACTGGTGGGTCCTTCCTCAGCTTTACAGAGGCCTATGAGATACAAAAAGCTGACAAAAAGGTGAATGTAAAGTTCATTGCACAAAGATGGGATTTATTTCTGAACGTCAAAGTGACAACTTGTTTTGCCATGATTAACAAGGGAAAAAAACCTCTGATGCTTGTGGTAAGAAAATATGGCTGAGAGAATGGAGGGATGGCACTTTAGCTGCGCTGTGCTAATCTTTGTAGCTTTCCTTTGTCTTTTATGAGAGAAAATAACCATGTTTAGAGCTCATTGAAAGCAGCCAGAAAACTCTTGTCACTACATTGTATTAGCTTTGATCTGGTGTACTTGATTATGTATCTTTTGTTTATTACAGGCTCTCAATTTTGATTCTTTACTCTAAAAATTATACTCAGAGTATTGAATCACTTTTCTCCATATCAGCGGATCTGCTTATTGACATCCTGTTAGAGGCCTTTGCAAATAGTCTTCAAAAAGGAATAAATGAAAGACACCGGTGAAAAGTGAAGTTTGACCAGAGGGCAAAGTTCTGTCAAAAACACTTTATCTTTCTTTGTTACTGAGACACGACCAGATGTTTGTTTATAACAAAATGCTTGCACTGGGATTTTTGAAAGCCCAGACGAAGAAAACTATCTAATTGCTTCTAGGAATGCAGTCATGTGCTAGCTGCAACCTGGGTTGATGTACCTTAAAATGCTATATCTGGAGATTCTGCGGGTGGAATAAAAGTGTATACGTTTCTGCTGAAAGGAGATAGGGCTGTTAGTTCAGATACACACTGAACATCTGCTGTGCCTGAGCCTTGCGGTTTGACTAAATTAAAATGTCACATTAAAATGATCATCAGTCAATCAGAATGCTTCCTCACTCTGAGAGACATAACATCACGCTCAGTGCTGCAGTTTCCAGAGAAGTCAATGTGTTATGCTCAGAAAAAGAAATCAGAACAGTGAAATGTTTCACAATTGGGGTTTGTTTGACTTGTGTGACATCACAGACTAATGTTTAACCCAGGATCAAGCAACTTGGATTTTGTTGTCCCAAATGATCTTAAATCTAGCTAATTATTTTAATTATAAATTTTGATTATTTTAATCTTGGCTATTAACTCTAGTTAGCAAAATGAAATGTAATTAATATTCTAACTTTTGGAGAGTTTCCAATCAATAAAGCTGTAGCACAGACCACAAATTTGTGTTGTTTCAGTGGCACAGAGATCATTTTCCTTTTATTTAAACTCCTGGATAGCTATTTAAGACTAACAGACTACAGATATTATGAATTATAGAAGCAGAAATTGCCAGAGAAGCTCTGTCTTATTAATAAAAAGAAAGGCATTACTAAAAGAAAACCCAATTCTACCAGAAAAATTAAGATAACCCTCTTTCACTTAGCATTTAGCTGTAAGTTGTCCATGGCAAAGGATTATTTCTATAAGCACAATACAATTTGCTAAAAATTAAGTAAACGTTTGTCTGAAATACCTTATGCGATGACTTGCAAGGCCTTTTGCTGTATAAATTTTGAATTACTTAGAAGTAAAAGCCTTCTTGTATTTATTAAAACATTTAACAAGTTCAGTTTTGGTTTTTGAATGAAGTAGAGAAGGTGTATTTTCTTTTGCACAGTGCATGTAACAATGTAATTTCTCAAGTCTATTTAATGTAGACTAGTCATAAATGTATTGAGCACTGTTGAAGTACTGTGCTAATGAAAAAAATTTCCATAAATCAACATACAGCAAGCTGATGTCCCCTTTCAGAAATGCCCACTGTATGTATCTGGTGCAATTTGGATGGTTTTTTGTCAATTAATTCAATAGCCAAATGTGAAAAAGAGCTTACTGCAAATATTTCAGAATTCTTGCTGATGGAAGTTACAGACCTGTATTGAGAGACTGGAATCAAGGGACAGATTATGCCCATTTGGAGCCTGAAGTACGTTATAGCATATGGATCCTGTGTGCTTCTTCTGCCCCCCTTCTCATTCCTTCCCTCAAAACTGCAATGAGAGGAATTCTTCCTTCTGTGGAAGCATCAGTGATCCTTTTCCTTTGCAGACAGGGGATTTCTTGGAAGACCAGACAGCTGTGCTTTGGAGGCTTGGCCTGCCTGCTGCACCTTTCCCTGGGTAATATTTGACCACTCCTTTATTGGAGGGATGCTGAAATAGACCTTGCAGTGATAGATCTCACTGAGATGAAAAAATGTGTTCATACTGCAGACCTTAAAAAGACCACACTACATTGGATAAATGCCATGTTGTCAACCTTTTTTAAAGAAAAAAAAAATATTTGAGTGCTAGACTCGTTTGAAAAATTAAAAAAATTAACTAAGAATCCAGTATTATCAGATGATCCCATTGTCAGAGATGGTAAGGTATGGCATTTAGGTGTCTGCATGTTAAACTCTCCTACCTGAAGCTGATCCAAAAAGTCACATTTGCAGGCAAAAATGTAGTTCTGTGTAAAGTTCTAAGGAAGAAAGCTCTGTTCCTTAAAGGGAAGATGATAGTGGCAGAACAAAACAGTGATACCTCAAAATGAGGTAGTCATTACTTTCTCATCTTGGATATTTTCTTTCTATTGACAACTGACCATGTCAGATTGCTGACGTCACGTCCACATATCCCAGCTCCTTTCTCATTGTAACTTTTACTGTCTTCCAAAGGAAAAAATACTGTAGGAGTAATGAGTGGCTTCTTGATAAAACTAGTAAGGTTCTTGTCACTGAGGGAAGCATTTTCTGTCATTTAGGCTGTGATCACCATGTGTCCAGGATGAGTGCACCTGGTCAAGGGTAACAGTGCATAGCCTGTCAGCTCTTCTCTATCTGCCCTATCACATGCTCCCAGCTCCCATATTTCTGCTGAAGGGCAAATCTGACACAGCTATGCACAATGCTCACTGCAAAGTCAGTTATCATGACAGCAGTTAATGCACTGTAAAGTTATTCCTGAGCTTGCCTTGTGGTATCTTCTCTATGCTGTCATGCCTTGTTCAGTGTTTTACTGACACTTGAGAATTTCAGAAAAGCATAAAGTAATCATATTGTGTTATTGTCATCTGCATTTCTCATGCATAGCTTATCATAAAAGGTTTCTTAAACAATTTCTTGGGTTTTTTTCCTTTAAGTGTTGCTGCAAATGACATCATTTGTGTGTGAGCTTCAATTGGATATGGTAACACCTTGTAAAGTACTTTAACAAGACAGAAATACTTAAATAACATTTGGGTTTGGTTTCAAAGATCTTCCCTTTAGGATGCTGCAGTAAATTCAGTCCCAAGATTGACACCCTTTTCTCTGTACAAATTTACTTTTTGGGGGCCAACATTTCTTCATGGTGCAACTTAATTTTTTTAAAAGGAGAAGCTACAGTAGTGCTCTACATCTACATTGGCTGTCCCTAGCCTTTGGAAAGAACATGGATTTACAATTAAGCATCAGGGATGCTCTATTTGGGTTTGTTAAATCCGTTAACAAGCAATAAAATCTCTGGTATTCAATCTTTCTCACTATTCATATATTTTTTTCATCCCACCCTTTCACCCTTGGCTTTGATTTTCTTTCACTTTTGCCAGTTTCTTTACAATCACTAAATAGAAGTGATGCCACTCCTGCTTCACAGCTCAGCAGACAGGGAACACTGTGTTGGGCCATGTCTATTCAGCCTCTGCTGCTTCTGCGGTTTGTTATAACTGAGCTTTGTCCATTATACCTCTAAAGCCCCTCTGAATGAAGCCTATCTAGTAAGGCCAGGCTCTTAAAATGGATGTGAGTACTACAGGTTCCTTATAGCTCTCTGTATTCAGCCATTACAGCACAACTGTTTTTCACAATATTCTTCTTTAACCCAATATACCCCTGCACTCTCCAGCCTATATAATCCTTCAAGTTCTCAGCAGGATTCCAAGAGATTCACTATGTCAGTGTATTTTCAAGCTCCAGAAGGAGGCTTTATTTTTATAAAATTAAAATAATTTAAAAAAGAAAGAAAGAAGAAGATGCTAGAACAGAATGGATTCTGTGAACACAGTTCAGAAGTATATGTATGGAATACAACACTCCTAACTAAAAGTCTTCACCGTTTCTTCTCCCCAGATTCTGACTAACCCTGGATGGAATAACATACATAACACAAGGGTGTCTCATGAGAGCAAGGCACGTTTATCCCCAATAGGCAAGAAAGGAAAAGGACCTCACCCTGTTAGTCACTGTGGTGATTAGAACATTTATTGGTTATGGGGAATGATGGCCTTTGCCACAGCCCATCTGTAGTGGGTAAAGTTGGTTTGCAGTTAGTTAGGAACTGCTCTCTGGAATGAAGCAGACCTCTAACAATATCTTCTTTGCCCTGAGCAATTGCAGGTGGCATCCACATTGATACTGAGGAGAAAAAGCTGAGAGAGAAATAGCAGGCTGAAAGAGGTCTTAGGGAAGCATTCCAGAGGTTGCTGGGCAGAATTCAGAAGGAAATTTCTAGAGAGAAAAATGGGATGCCTGTGTGGATATTTTGGTGAATTGAAAATCTTACAAAGAAAAGGCAGAAAATCCCAAGAGAGGTGAAGCCCAAAGCCTGTCATTTGGGTTTTTTGACACTCTTGAGTCCTGATGATGCCTGGCATTTGGAAGGAGGGGTAGGAATGGGAGAAACCAACCACCACCTGGAGGGAATTTGGAAGTGTTCATGGAAAGTGCACAGCATGCAGGAGAGGGAGTGATAAAAGTGCCACTCAACAGGGGGAGTTCCTCAGGGGAGCACTGAACACTAGCACAGCAGATAAATAATTCTGGAAACACTTTGCTGGCTGTTGGCTGGGGGTATAGCCAAGGCAAGGACTGAATATAGAGGCAAGAGCTGTTATTCAGCCAAACTCTGTAGCTGCACAAAACATGATGCAGAAGCCTCCTCTGAGTCTGAAGCAGGTACAAAACTTCTACACAAAGCAGAATACAGGCTGAAAAATACCACGCTGTGTTTAACTTACGCTTTTCTGCATGGCAGTTTTGGAGGACTGGAACACTTTTAGTTTAGATGTAGGCAGTGTGTTGATGGGATCAATATACTGGGGTTTCAGGAAAAGCTGGAGGCAGCAACAGGTGAAATGTAAACACAAATATTTACAAATAAGTGTTTCTCAGCATATATGAATACAAAAGCTTCTGCTGATAAAATTTGCAAATGTATTTGGGGGAAAAATATCTTTTACTAGACCAAAATCTTGTCAACCCCATCAAGAGGGTATTCTTACTGGAAATACAGGAGACTTACCCACTAAAGCCTTTAAAACTCGTCTTTCAGGTAACAGGGATGTTTACACCAGGTTAAGAAGTGATCTGAGGAATGGGTTTGTCTCCAGAAGACTTCCTTTGCTATTAGGTGTGTTGCTCGTAGACCAAGTAGGTAAATTGTGGTGTCACGGTGAGAAATTTGAGCTAGGGAAATGGAATATTCAGGCTTAACTTGCTAGCATGGGGTGAGGGTTTTTGAGGTCCAACCTTGCCCTCAGAGGACTGCTCCTGAGAGCTGAACAGGTCTTTGGTGTTACCTGCAGCCTGGTCCATGTGGGAAGTGATGTGGCATGTCTGACCACAGTGGCCTCTCTCTTTCCCTCCCTCCCTCCTGCAGTGCTGGCATTGGCTCAGCTGCGGAGCAACCTCAGCCTTTGGGACTGTGACTTTTCAGGTTACAGTAAGTTCAATTAGAGTTAAGGTTCACTGCAAGCTGCTGATGAACTGGCAACCGCTGTCTTGATGATCTGTTTGTGATTATCCCGCTGAGAATTTAATTTAGTTTTATTTTTGCCTGTTGAGTTTTGCTGTACGAGGGACCAGGCATTGCATTGCATACTCTGCATGAAACGTTATGGTTGCTTTTCAAATATGTAAATAGAGACAAGTTATTTCTCTCAAATCTCTAGCTATTAGGACTCATTTTTAGTGCTACATACATTTAATACAAATCCCTTGGTTTTGGAAGCCCCTGTTTCTGTTCTCAAATCTCAGTCTCTATTTAAAAGTAATATTAGAGTTGATTAACTGTAAGGAAAATAAATACTTGCTGACTAAAGCAGTGCCCCTAAACACAGCAGGTAGATTATTTTCAATGATGGATTCAAACACCTTCAGGAACTGCTTGGTCTTTCTGTTTACTATTATCAGTGCTGTAATTTTGTTATCAAGACTGGCAGTTTCTTCTCACAGAAAAACTTTATTGCAAGGCTGACCTGTCTAATACCTCCCTATTAGTAACAGAAACAAATAAGAGTTGATTGTTCAGCTGCTGTCATTTAAAAAGACTAAATCAACCTGCCACAAAAGAATAATTCCCTGTGGTAACTTTATCCATTTGCCCTTGGTGGTGACACTGTGGATACCACCCTGGTTGAACTATATATTAGTTCCTAGGGAAGCACTTTGAAATATATAGCTCTGCACAATGTTGTAATTGAAAAAATTCAATAGCCATGCATGGTTCAGTAATCTGAAAAGAATGCAAAGGTTCAGTTCTAATTGCTTTGCACAATTTAGTACCATTTTTTCTGTGCTTTCCAAATGAATTTATTCTGTTCTATGTGTGTCTATTATATGATTTGGCAGCACTGCCTATATACAGGCAGCTCTGTTTTTTAAAAACATGTATCAGTATTTTCATTTTATGTTTTGACCGCATTTTAAAAAGACTTACCTAACCAAATGACCCACTCTGGGTGTTTGCTCTTCCATCAAGAAGGGTGTCTGGTCCTCTAGAGTTCTGCAAAGGATTTGGTAACCTGTCAAATGAGTTAAGAGCCTGATTTTAAGATTATCCATTAAAGCAGTCTTTCTTTTATCATGTGTTGGAATTGAGTCTCTACATTCTCTTTGGATTGGGGAAGCTTTAAAAGCTGCCATGAAATATGTACTTTATAGCATCCACTCAGATTGACTTTTATTTATTTTGCATACAATTCTTCCATGTTTCTAGATATTAAACCCTGTTAACTGCCTATCTGTGGA